GGCGGGAGGATCCCCGCGGGCCTCTCTGCGAGGCAGGGATCTGACGGGCACCGGGAAGAAGCCGCGAAGGAACAGCGCGACGCCCAGGGCCTCCACCAGGAGGCAGGCGGAGGCAAACACACCCGAGCGCAACCGCATCTTCCCGCACAGCGCCGGCCCCCGCGGGACACCTCTCGCTCAGGACCTCCGGCGCGGCACCTGCGGCGCTCCGCCCCCTCCCACGCCACCGACCAACCAGCGGCCACCGCACGTAGTACGTACCCACCGGGCCATGCTATTGGCGAATGGCCAGCCAACCCCTCCGCTAGAGGCGTGACCTCAACCCGGAAGTAGGCCCCCGCCTTCGCAGCCAGCGGAAGGGGCGTGGCTGCGCCTTCCATCAGTCTCCTCTGCCGTAGGGCGCGGCCTGGTAGGGGCGGGGCTCCCGCTGCCCCCGCCCTGGGAGCGGTGTGGAAGGGCCGTAGCGGTAAGGGGTGGATGGCATCAGTAGGCCGCGCTGGGCCGGCGGCTGGCGAGTGTTCCGAGTCCGACGCCCGAAGGGCCTCAGGACGCGAGGCTCTAGCGAGCTGCCCTGCCGTGCGGCCGTCACAGGCCTGCGATGTCGGGTTGGGACCGTCCTTCGGGGCTGCAACGCTGAAGGAGGGAGAAAGTACTGAGTTGTCAGGGCCTCAGTTTCCCAAGAATAACCTGTGCTGTGGCCACTTGCTTGTGCGGCCCGTGCTGAGAGCTGATGTTTGCTCCAGAAACCAGCAGTGCTGTGAGCTGCGTCCTCTGAAACACAAGTTTGAAGCCTGAGCAGGGAGATCTTCTGTAAAGTTGTAATGACGGGTGCATGGCAGGTGAGGAATGCAACAGAACTCAGAGGCTGTTGCAGGTTTTTGACAAGCAGATTCTTCTTTTAGGTTTTTAATAATACTGAATAGTAGTGACCTTTTAGCCTTTCCACCAAAAAGGACACAGGCTGTAGTAGGTGGGTCATGGCATATAGGAGAAGTAAGTTTTTTAAAGGCTTTAATTTTTAAAAAAAGGAAACCAAAGAAATTCTGCAAAGTGAAGTGGAGTTGATCCTGGTCTCACTATGCTCATTGATACAGGAAAACTCAAAACTTAAAACTCAAAAGTACCATTCCTCCAAACAAAACTGCTTCTCATGTCTGCCCAAGCAGCTTCTGTATGTCCGACCTCTTTACTAGAAAGATGTGGTACATTTTTTTGCAGTACATGTAACAACTCCTTACCTTTACCTGTGAGCAGCACATCTTCCCAGACCTGACAAGTACACCACCACACAGACTGCTTGTCTGGCAGTCACCATCCTGGGCTGAGCTGCTTGTGGTCTGTTACTAGACAAAGTGGCACTGCAACAGCTTGATGCCAGTGTGACACTTCACCTGTTTACAGTCATCATCCCATAGCTATGTGTATGTTGATGCAACTCTACACCACCATATAACTGGCCTCCATAACAGTTTTCCTGATGAATATTTCCCTTAAAGTAAGATCTGTTCTGTGTAAAGACAGGCCAAATACATTCTACCACGCTTTTTAAGAGTATTGTCCCACTTTTGTTGGTAAGTTTGTGCCTTTACTGGACTTTACTGGCCAGCTGTTCATACTGGGCTTTGTAACAGCTGTCGCTGGGCAAGACTGCTTGATGTGAAAAGCATGTGGGATTGGTTTTGGGATAGAAGCTTTCTATAACATTGTCCTGGTTCAGCTTGGATAGGGTTAAGTTTCCCCAGCAGAGAGGGGGAAGGGATCTCCAGCCGGGTTATTCGTACCATGCTGACGTCAGGTCCGGTGCGGGAGCCCGGGAAGCTTTCCTTTGTGGCTTTGGTCTCAAGGAGCACGGGGCTGTCTAAGCATTGCGGTATTTCTCTGTATATCTTTTGTCTTGTTTAATGTCATTACTATTTATAGTTGTTATCATTGCTACTGTTGTTGTTGTTCAGATTGTTTTATTACACTGCTGTATTAAATCTCTTCTTATTTTAACCTGGGGTTTGTGCCTCACTTCCAGCCTGACCGGCTGAGGGTGGGGGAGGGACAATGGCAACGTGGTCTCCGGTCCCGGCAGGGCTTAAACCAACACAGCCTTTTTTGGCACCCAACGTGGGGCCATGAGAGGGCTGCAATAAGAATCAAAAAGGGACAGACCCTGACCAGAGTGTGTTACAGCAATCTGTTAGATGTAATTTGTATGTTTGTTCTGTTTGATAAGAAATGTTTGCGATGCTGGCCCACTTGCTTGCGTGGTGGGGCTGGATTAATCTTTATATCCAGTGTATGATCCCAGTGCTGGTGTTTGTTATCGGTGGAAAATGTGTAAAGGGTCTTATTGTACTCTACTGGCTATTGACTGCTCATAATGTGTTTGCATCGCTGTATGTGGGGGCAGGCCCGTACCTGTTTGCTGCCTGGGCTTTTGTTCGGAGTCTCACCCCCTCTATGGGTGAGCCAGGGGAAGAGATCCTCTCAATTTTGGAGAGTTTCAATTATCCTTGGAGCCTGCAGGCCAGTGTGATTGCGGCACAATGCTTTCTGAATGTCTACCTGATTTTGGTTTTGGCCATGCGGCACTTCTCTTAACAATAGCAGTTCCCGGAAACCTGCCCTGAGGTCAGATAATAGTGAGTGGCAATGGGTGTGGGAAAAGATGGGCAAAGGCCTGAGTCCGTGGTCACCTCCAGTGCTTTGGAATTTCACTCCCAAACAAATGCAGAGCCTTGATTATTTAGAAAGAGTGTGTTACCAAGCTGGTAAAATCCAGGAGACACAACTCACTGCAATGTGTTGGGGACTTGCCCATGCCTACCTGTCCTCTTTAATACCATTCACTGCCCTCAAGAGGGAGAAAGGGCTGCAGGATCTGAGAATGAACTTACTTGAACTTACTGGTACACCAGCTGGGCCGGGGGGATAGACAGAGCCAGGATCAGTGATTTCCACCAGCACAGCAGCTGAGCCAGAGAGCCAGCCAGTGCCGGTATCAGTCGCCCCGATACAGAAAACCAAATATACCAGAAAGTCAGCTTGAAAAGTGGGGGATGGGGATGAGCCAGGCCCATCACGGGAACAGGAGGAAGGGCCAGTGGTGATCGTCCGATCTCTATCCCCGACTGAGCTGTGAGATATGCAGAGAGATTTCGGCCACCTGGGAGGTGAGCAGATTTGCACCTGGCTGCTCCGATGCCGGGACAATGGAGCTAGTACTTTTGAGATGGAGGGGAGAGAGGCCAAACAGCTGGGATCTTTGGCCAAGGATGCTGGCATTGATAGGGAAATAGGGGAACAGTCTCAAACCCTCAGCCTTTGGAGGTGACTCCTGCTCAGTGTAAGGGAGAGGTACCACTACAAGGATTATATCCTATGTCAGCTAAGCAAATGGACCACCATTGAGAAAGGCATCCAGAACCTCAGGGAACTGGCTATGTTTGAGATGATCAGTGGTGGTCTGAATGATGAGCAGTCACTCATGGACCCAGATCAGGCCCCTTGCACACACCTGAATGAAATTATGCCAGCAATAAGTGCTGCAGTGCTGGATATGCTAGAGCTCCAGTATGAACTGCAGTCAAAAGCAGCCAAGTGGTATGCCACAATAGACATTGCTAACGCATTCTTCTCCATTCCAATAGCACCAGAGTGCAGGCCACAGTTTGTGTTCACTTGGAGAGGCATACAGTACATGTGGAATCGATTGCCCCAGGGGTGGAACCACAGCTCCACTATTTGCCATGGACTGGTCCATACTACACTGGAGAAAGGTGGGGCTCCAGAACACCTGCAGTACATTGATGACATCATTGTATGGGGGGACACAGCCAAGGAAGTCTTTGAGAAAGGAAAGAAGATAATTGAAATCCTCCTGAAGGCTGCCTTTGCCATTAAGCAAAAGAAAGTTAAGGGGCCTGCAAGGGAAATTCAGTTCCTAGGAAGAAAATGGCAAGATGGGCGTTGCCACATCCCAATGGAGGTGATAAACAAGTAACAACCATGGCCACACCAACTTCTAAAAAGGAGACTCAGTCTTTCCTGGGCGCTGTGGGGTTCTGGAGGATGCACATCCCGTACTACAGCCTTATTGTGTGCCCTCTCTACCACGTAACCTGTAAGAACAATTTTGAATGGGCCCCTGAGCAACAACGATCCTTTGAACAAATTAAGCAGGAAATTTCCCAAGCTATAGCCCTCGTGCCAGTCCAGGAAGGGCAGGAGGTTAAGAACATGCTCTACACCGCAGCCGGGGAGAATGGCACTACCTGGGGCCTCTGGCAGAGAGCACCTGTGGAGACCCGAGGCCGACCTCTAGGCTTTTGGAGCCGGGGATACAAAGGTTCTAAAGATAATTACACACCAACTGAGAAGGAGATACTGGCAGCGTACAAAGTAGTTCAGGCTGCCTCAGATGTGGTTGGCACTGAAACGCAGCTCCTCCTGGTACCCCAACTGCCGGTGCTGGGGTGGATGTTCAAAGGAAAGGCCTCCTCCACACATCATGCAACAGATGCCACGTGGAGTAAATGGGTTGCGTTGATAACACAACGGGCTAAAATAGGGAACCCCAGCCGCCCAGGGATATTAGAGGTGATCATGAACTGGCCAGAGAGCAAAGATTCTGGGATGTCACCAGAACAGGAAGTGACACGTGCTAAGGAGGCCCCACCATATAATGAGCTGCCGGATGAGGAGAAGCAATATGCCCTGTTCATTGATGGGTCTTGTCGCATTGTGGGGAAAAATTGACAATGGAAGGCTGCTGTATGGCATCCCACACGATAAGTCACTGAAGCTGCTGAGGGACAGGATGAATCGAGCCAGTTCGCAGAGCTGAAAACTATCTAGCTTGCTTTGGATATTACTGAGTGGGAAAAGTGGCCAAGGCTCTACCTCTACACCAACTCATGGGCACTGGCGAATACCCTGTGGAAATGGCTGCAGTAATGGAAGCAGAACAACTGACAACATAAGGGTAAAACCGTCTGGGCTGCTGAAGTATGTCAGGACATTGCAGCCCGTGTGGAGAACCTCGTTGTGAAGGTGCGCCATGTGGATGCCCATGTACCCAAGAGTCAGGCCACTGATGAACATCAACACAACCAGCAGGCAGACCAAGCTGCTAAGATCAGAGTGGCTCAGGTGGACTTGGACTGGCAGCGCAAAGGTGAATTGTTCATAGCCTGGTGGGCCCATGAGACCTCGGGCCACCAAGGT